TTGCTTTCTTGCGCAAGAAAAATACTTTCTTGGGGCAAGAAAGAGGCAAGAATGCGCAAGAAACGATTCTTGGGCAAGAAATGTCACAAGATCTTGCATTCTTGCTTAACAAGAACATCGACTAGGGTAGTCACAACTCTCACTTTGTTCTCTTGCTTTTCTTTGGATGTACACATTTTGTCTTTCCGTTCTGTATCCGTAGTGACCCCATTTTCTGCCATTCATATAGTTAGTGTACATACATTGACTACACAGTCTTTTACGTATGTATACATTTCCTTAGATAGATATACTTCTCTTTTTCTCCGTCATCGTTGTCACCTCCATAAGTGTGTGTACGTATTAGTTTAGTTAGTTCCCTCTATCAATCAGACCATTCGTCGTGTACTTCTTTTTGTATTGATTCGTTTGGCACAATACAGTTTTTACACATACAAGGCACGTTCTCTGACACAAGCTGCTAGTACATATATTAAGTAACCGATATGTACCTTTCCATCCATTCCGCCACAGAATATTTACACATGCGCGTCATTTGAATCACACAGCATATAGAAAAGCAAAAAATCATAAATAAATAAACACGACGAATAAAAAAAAGTAACTGAGGAGGAAAGAATTATATAGTACAGCGGAGTAGGGTGAGAAAAAGTTTTGGCTTTAAATATTTTTGTATATTTTTCATGTACTGAACTTAGCAACAAAATAATAAAGTTGTGAAATTTGTGAGTAATCTATACCAGTAATATTTATACTCGGTGAGCATGACTTTTGACGAAGAGTATGCTGAATCGAAATACACACTAAAAGTTTGAGTACTTTTTCTCTGGAAGAACGCCCCACGGTTCCAACGATAAGGCTAACGATAAGGGCGGCTTTGTGATGTAAATTAAATTTGCATAGGTTGAGAAAGTCCACATCGCTGCAACTTCCCGTTTTACGTGGAAAAAGTAGTATGAATCAGAAGTCGCCGCGAGCTATTAGGTGTGTGCGTATCTCTCTGTAAGGGATGAGTATCGGTTTGTAATGACTATCTGTATGAGTGACTAGATGTTTGACTGACTACCTGACTGCCTGTCTGTATAAGATGCATATCTGTATATATACTGTATACAAAACTCTTGAGAAACATTTGCAATACTGGTGAAATAATAACGACGAATTTAACAGATTTCTTCTGTCCGATTTTTTCATCTACCAGGAGCTACTCACTGTGATACGACAGTCAGTCAGTCAGTCAAATCTATAGTTACTTATACAGATAGTCATCACATACAAACAGACAAGCACACAGTTAGTCAGACAGGCAGTCAGTCAGTCGAACATATAGTCATCCACACAGATACCCACCGGATGCACACCAATATACGAGCGATGTGTATTGACTACCTAGTCACTGGTTCCTTCATACACGAACACAAGTGTGTCGGTGAGTGCGCACTATATAGTTATACGTATGTATCTATATCAAGGGGGAAACAGCGGACTCCCGGACTCCAGGAGTCTATTGGAGTCCCTTGTAATCTCAAGGATATATATATTTATTTTATTTTATATTCGTGAAACTATGCAATATTTTATTGGTTGTTTATTAATTATGAGCAAAAATATATATTGAGAAAGATAAATTTAAAAGCTTTGCCAACATTGCATTGGAAACAAACGAGTTATAATAAAGGAACTATGAACAATGTTATTAGAAATGTTGTATTAATTGTCGATACATAGTAATAAGTTTTCATACAATAGCAACACTTTTACGAACTCCTATTAATAGACTTCAGGAGTTCATGGAGTCCGCTGTTTCCCCCTTGGTTTATATACAGTCAGATACTTTAATACGTAATGGAGAGAAGTATTTTTCTACATGAACGGGAAAGTCTCAGAGACGTGGACTTTCTCATGAACTCTAAATTTGGTTGAAATAAAATGGTGCAGTATTAATTGAATTTGTTATTTAAAGGAGTCTATTGTAAAGAAGAATAAACTCTGTCAGCATAAAGGACCGCATGGAGTACGTAGAATTTGAAATACGAGAGGGATGTAAGTTACTTAGAATATGTTCATATTACCAGATACGACCGTACCTGATGTTTGAAGTCTTTTCAAATTTTATTTTCTCTCTATATACTTTTAGAGCTGAGGTTTTTGCTGAAGTGAAACTATTTGGAATAGAATCTGAAATGGATGATGAGAAAGCATTATCAGTAATCCACGGGATCAAACAAAAAACGAATGGTAAAACAGCAAGAACAAAACGAATGAAGAAAGCAAACAAAGAATGGACGGGTAAATAGTTTGATTTAAGCCTCTTTGTTATTAAGAACTGATCTCGGGAAATGCATGGTTAATTAAGACCAAGTCTTCTGCGAGTATTGATGTTACGGTATTGTTCCATGGCTCCCTGTTTGTATTTATGAGATGTCATCCCAACATGTGTCAACGTGAGATTATTGAAACTTCTCAGATTTCTTCTCTCTCATCCTTTCTCTCATACATGCTATCAAGTTAAGGATGGTCTGATTCTGCAATAGAAAAGTTAGAAATATTACAATAGAGGGTTGAATTTGGGATTTTTTTGTTCTTTCTACTGAGGCTTCCATGTATCAGTTTTCAGAAAGCCAGATTTTCTACAAATGCACTATCAACTTCCATTTGAAGAAATTCTAATACAAATAGTATAAAGAACATCTTGAAGTGCACGTAGAAAGCATTTTGAAGATTAGCCAGAGCTTCTAATTTGACACTGGCCTTTTTGGAAATCTTGGACCCTTCAGTTTTCATATTGCTCTCAGTAAAAGAGCATCCATTAGTCTACAGAAGTTTTTACAAGCGCAACGCAAGATGCTCTACAAATTAGCTTGGAAGAAAACGATTGGATACTTCCGATTAGAGATGTATAACGTGACTCGAAGGGTGGCTACGGGTAGAACAGTTATGGATATGGATTTCGTTTTTTTAGATTTACCTGAAGCCTGGAAGTTTTAATTGGAAAAATACAACATTTTAGTTAAAATACATAAAGTTTTAAAAGAGTCACTAAACAACGTAATGATAGCTTGACATCTCCAGCCGAAGAACAAGAGTTTTTAGCTGGAAAATGGAAAACGAGAAAAGGTTTAGGCATAAGTCGGATACGGATGGCGTACGGGTAAAAAAATTTTCGGGTCAGGTATGGATCGGAGAGCGGTTCCCGGGCACATCACTACTTTCAATAGTTCCCTCATTAGTGTGAAACTGGAATAATTCCTAATGAGAATATCATCGGAAGTATTTGACGTTATTTTACTGAAGAAGTGTACACATTAGTATCATCGAAAATATTCATTCGCAGAAGATACCGGAGTACGGAATTTGTTGCAGCTTTTAGGACCTTTCAAAATTCGTAAGACACCTTATTCTTAATTAAAAGCACTATGAATTCTGATGACAAAATCATTAGACTATGAAACGATATTTATTTTATGAAAATTTGTAGTTCTGATAAGGTGAAATAACCCCATCTTTTTGAAAATAATATAAATTTTGTTTAATATCATGTATTATTCCTTTTCCCCTTCCACCATTTAAAACTTGATACACTGCCTTGGCATAGCATCAGCAGGAGGGTATTGTTTATTCAACAATTAAGAAATCTGACAATCGATGTGAGAATTTAAACCAAGCATGGTTACACATAATACATTAGCAAGAGAACAATCGAAAATTGAATAATTATGAAACAGCGAATATTTGATTGCTCTTTGCATAATGAAATGCAAAACGAGTTGATGAAACTGATTAAGAAAAAAATATATGATATTATTCTTTTCTCTTTGTCCAGTATCGTTTATCATCCATTTTCATTCTACTATTTATAACATTTAACATAGAGATAACAAACATCGTAATTGTATTGAACGTTTTATAAAGAAGAACATTTTAATAAGATATTTTTATTTTACTCATATCGTTTTATAGTCTACCACATTTCATTCGTGATCGAAAAATAAGGGTTTCAAATAAAATTAATATTATTTTCAAAAAAGAAGTTTCATTTAGCTAAATAATGCCCTTCCTAATTCGTTGTGAGTAGACTAATAAGAAGCGCAAAATTCAACGATCGATACATACAACATGTGATAACACCCACATAAGCGTTTTTTCTTTCAGATCACGTAACAACAATTGAACACTGCTCAAATGAACTTTGGTTAGAATATTTTGACTATTTAACATCCTTCGAAATTCTTTATTCATTCTCAAATCTAAATTATCGTTTGAGTTCTATTGTTTATTCATTACCAATACATATTGATTCGACATGCACCATGTCAACAGTTTCATTCAAACAATTTTATTCAAATATTTCTCGTCCACCACAATGTAAACACATTTTATCGTTAACTATTTCGTGTAAGAATACAGTTGGAGCAATATCTCTGTTTCAGTTGTCCTGTAGAATTGAACAATTTTACAATCTTTCCAGTATAAAATTTCAGTTATACACACATGCTGATATAACAGATTTAGTGCAGTTCAGTTTAAAATTAGATCAATTACCTCAATTGTCCACCGTCATCGTAGAAATGTATAATTTGTCTTTTGATTATAATATACGACTTGGGTCAATAATTCATACAATGTTAAAATTAAAGTCACTGAAAACTCTTCGATTACCAACAATTAACGAAGTAAATTTTATTCATTTGAAAAGATCTTTCATAGAAGAACTAACACTTGAATGGTGCAGTTTAGATATATTCTATTATTTAAATTTGAGTTTAAAGCATTTAACCATTAAGAATATTATTAGTCGCGGTAAACGATTGGAGCATACAGATGTATTTGTTCGAAACCTGACACATTTAAAGTTAGATTTATCAGCTAATTGGGATTGTGATACTATTGTTCCTTTACTTAAACAAATCGGACAAAATTTAAAATATTTTTCTTTGGTATTCCGCAGTTATGATGCTAAATATTTCACGGGTGATTATTGGTCAACATTTTTATCATCGACATTAAACAAATCGTGTAAGATTGAACTATTTATTGAAGGTTGCAATTATCTCATAAATGATCAAATCGACATATACCATCGATCAAAATCATTTGAAACAGAATTTTGGTATGATTATGATTTATCCATAAAACTTCATTATGATCCATATTTAAGGACATGTTGTTTGTACACGTTACCTTATCCAAAAACATATTTGAAAGCAAAATGGTATTATGAACGAATATTGATTTTAACACCGATGGCAAAAATGGTGCGAAGACAAATGTAAGTGAAATGTATGTATGTTGTCTAGTCAGCAATCAAAATATTACTGTTCTCATTATTTTCAGTTCGATTTATGATAGAGTAAAGTCTGTCGAGTTTACTATTGATGAAAATTTTATCGATTATCAGAGTATCTTTTATTGTCGAAATATTCAAGAATTAATCGTTAGTGGATCATGTGATTCTAATGATCAGTTAAAAAGCGATCCATTCTCATCTTTAGTTCATCGGAAGTCATTAACAAAATTAGTAAAATTGAATTGGAATTTTCCGAAAAATATAAATATTTACACTAAACAACATTTACGTGAAATATTAAAATGTGTGCCGAATTTATCATCAATCACATCTAATCATATTCCTAACAGTTTATTCAATATTTTCAAACAGGAATATTCGAATATCAATATTGAATATTTCGACGTTCCATCTTATGTTATCGACTCAAAGAATATTAAACAACTAATGATCACATTTCCAAATCTGAAGACATTAACATGTACTGTTAAAACCCTAGGTGTTTGCAGAAAAATATTACCAATTCTTTTATATGAAATTAAACGTTTGACATACTTTACAATACGTATCGAATGTAGTTGTAATAAAACAAAATTTAGAAAATTGATAAACGTTTATTTACAACATGTACAGTGGGTTCGAAATGAAAACGCGTTGTTGGTTTGGATTTAACGGATAAGATATAAATTATATCACTTTTTTTCATTTTTATTCAAGAAAGCGTGAGATACTTATTTTTTCGGCTAAAAAAAGCAGATTTCAAAACTCCACGTTAATTTATATAGCGTACATATACCTTTATTTAGAACGTTTGAGGGGGCACAAATCTGAACTGATACAATTAAACATTCGAAGTTGGAGTATAATTACAATCAAAAGACAAAACGTACGGAAAAACATTTTTCAACTTGTCCCGAGCCCGTCTGTCCTACAGGACGAGACAGACGGGATGGGATTCGGAACTGCCCCGTAGGTGTCTAGCTGGCGACCGCCAGCCAACACGCTAACTTAAATCAAAAATCCAATACTTTTTAAATGACACGTTGGTCTAAAAGAATTAGCAGAACATAAACAAGAAGATAGATGATGTACCGCTATTAGGCCAAGATATCCGAGTTTGCATATTGACTGAGAAGAACAGTAACCGATGCACTGACTGTTGAATAACTGACATCTGTCGCCATAGTAGTTGCCTGTACATGAACAAAGAAATAATCCATTGGTATTAATGATAGGTGGCCAAGGGGGAAAAAGCACCACAAGGCGAGTGTACCCATACCGGAATACCTTTATTCGAGAATGCCATTCTGCTATTCCAGAATACCATTCCGTTTTTTAGTGGACAAGCTTTTAGTCGAGTTTTCAGGTGATAAAAATAGTTGTAAGAGAAACTACAAGCGAAAGCAAATCTTCATTTTAATATAGTGCACGTTTTTTCTTCTTTCTGTATGTATATTCAATATATGCACGGTCTAGCGTGTATTACCAGTCAATACAAAAAATAAAGTACTATAAGCACTCACATACAGTAAAAAATTCCTTTTTTTGCTACGTTGATTCAATATAACGTC